TTTTTTGTGTAGCCTTGGCTGTCCTGGAACTCACTCTGTAGACCAGGCTGGCCTTGAACTCACAGAGATCCGCCTGCCTCAGCCTCCTGAGTGCTGGGATTAAAGGCGTGCGCCACCGTGCTGGGCTCCCAGTGTATCTTTGTGCCTTTTATTCGTGGATCAAGACATGAGTTCTGAGCTGTCACCCTGCCTTTGCTCTGCCGCCTGGAACTGTAAGCCCGGTTAAAGGATCTGTTTCATAAGTTGCCTTGGTCTTGGTGTTTTGCCTCAGCAATAGAGAAGTTCTTAATACACCGCTTAGCCATTCCACATTCCAGCAGGACCTAAAGGCCGCGTCACCTGTCTCTGTTTTTCAGGGCTCGTTACTAAATAATGGGGCTCTGGCATCTTCCATGAACATGGGCCACATTCTCAGCCGGGTGGAGTGAGGCAGACCATTCAGCATAGACCCAGACTAGCAGAATCCGCCGCCGCAGAGCTCATCTTTTTACTCCATCTGTCTCCCTGCCACAACCTGATGTCTCAGACAGGAGCTCCAGAGGGATCTAGTGAGCAGGTAGGAAGACAGGCCCAGAGAAACTCTCTTGATCCTATGGGGGGGGGGGGGGATGAAAGACCTGAGCTGTCTACATCAGTCATTAGCGAAATCACAAGGCATGGGAGAGCAACTGAGCAAATGGACTTCACATAAAGAAGAGGAACGGCAACGCGAAAGAGACAGATGTGGACTGCTCGCACGTGGGTGACCACCTAACAAACAAGCAACTGCCTGGGCACGTTGTGTTGTCATCACAGCATACCAAGTGTCTAATGTGTCCCAGGCATCGTTTCAAGTTGTTTACACATTCTATCCATGCATATGAAGTATTATTATCTTAATTTTGTAGGTCAACTGTGGTCAGGTCTCTCAGAAGCAGCAGGTCGCAGATGGACCTGAACAGTCCAACTTCAGAGGCCTGGCTTTGCACATCTTTGCTAGGCTGCTTTACAATAACTCCAGAGATGGCTGAAGACGTTGGTCAAAAGCATAATTAAGTAACAACTGACTGAAAGAGAGAGATGTAGCACAGAGGGCCACCGAAGGCAAGGAAAACACAGTTTCCATGTGGATAAATGAACAGTGGGAACAGCGAGTGAATGAAGGAAGAGACCAGGCTCAGAGTGGAATGGCTAGCTTCAATGCTGAGGTAGGGCTTGCCTAGTGAACACGAGGTCCGTGTGGTTGTGAGGATCACTTTGAATGCAGAGGGAGCATACATGTCTCTAAAACTGATTTGGCAGGAGTTGGTGGTTAGAGGACACGCATGAGGCAAATAAGAATATCCAAAAGCAGAGAACTGAAAAGCAATCAGAAAAACACAAAAACAAAACAACACAACAACAAAAAACATTTGAAGATGTTACAGGAGAAAATATTTTAGAAGTAAAGGAAAACGGAATCTAGGGCCAGGAAAAAAGCCCCATGTGTTGTCACAGAAATTACATATATAGAAATTAAACTCTGAGACAGAAGCTGATTAAACCCATTGATTAGGGGTCAATGAAATTATTCTGAAGGGCTGCCTATGTAGCTCAGCAGTAGAGCCCCCGGGTTTATCCCCAGCTCTAAAAAAAGATGGAAAGAAAGAAAGTAGGAAAGAAAACCTACTTTGAGAATTTACTAGGTATCCAGGGGAAAGGTTAGCTCTCCTTGGTGGAGGAAATGAGATCATATAGTTTGACAGGAAATGCAATGTTGAAATGCAAAAGAGAAATGTCCTGAGGGAAGGGATAGGAAACATAGATGTTTGAGGTCAAGTTGTATTCAAGTCCAAAGGCATCGGTTTCTTAAGTGTTAAGAAAGTGATTGCTGCCCAAGTGTGAGAACATGGGTTCAGATCCCCAGTGCCTCTGTAAAAGCTGGATGTGGTAGTGCATGTCTATAACCCCGGTGCTGGGAGTCCTGACACAGAGTGATCCCGAGGGCTTGCTGGCCAGCCAGTCTAGTCACATGCAGAGCTCCAGGTTCTGTGAGAGACCTTGATTCAAAGAATAAGGTGGAGCTCAACAGAGGAAGTCATCTGACATTTATCTCTGGCCTCTACAGGGCAATCACAAGCATGCAAACACACACACACACACACACACACACACACACACACACACGCACACACACACACACACACCATGCATGCACATCTGAATGCACACAATGCACTAGACTATAGATCATATAAACAGCATTGAACTCATTTAAATATGGGACTAATGGTAAACAATTGTAGAAATTATGCTTACAAAGCAAAACATTATTTTCAGTTTGGATAAAAAAATATAATCACATAACTGTCAAAATATCGGAGATGATTCTGACATTCCCTTTTGCTTCATAAGAACTCTTTTCCCTTCCTTTCTTAAAATAACAGAAAGTACCATGTTAGTATCATCTAATTTGAATATTCATTTTAATTTATACAACCTTATCTGCTATTCCAATGAGTAAATGAGCCTAGGGTTTTCTATAATTGCTAAAAGCAGTTATTGGGTGGTATTGGGGTGTTAGATGATTTGATCTTTTAGTGTTTGTATTTTTCTCCATCATATAAAAGTTTCTGAATGAATGTATGCCTTTGCAGAATAAAGCAATAATCTCCATCTCTTTCGCACACACACACCCACACACACCCATAAAATAACTCATTTTGAAGTCCTCATTGGCATTTCCTGAGTGTGGCCTAAGGAAAGAGCCGTGGCTTGCAGGTGCGAATGCTGAATTCCGGCTTTGATCACTGCACAACACAAGTGCGTGTCTGGTTATCGCACCGGACTCCGTACATCCGTACAACGATTCTGTGTCAATCAAAAACAAATCCACTGTATTAAAAAGCCCATCACTGTGAGTGCTCTTTCCTGTTACCCATTTAATGAACTCTATCTCCTCCAGAGAGGAGAGTCCGGCTGTGGGCACAGGGTGGGAGGGCAGGAAGAACTCAACAATTTTTGAAAACGCACGGGTGTTAGGGAAGGGAGATAGATTGCTCATGCCTGCTATGGCTCCCCCACCCCCACCCCCACCCCCACCCTCGCCCGCCCCCTGCCCCCAGTTTCTTCCTCAGTCTCAGAGACAACCAGAGGGAGAAATCTTCCCAGCAGGAGTAAGACTTCCTTATGGAATTTTCTTGACTTTTTCTCTCTTGCTGGTGGAGCTTCAGCAGCTGTCTTGGCTTCTTCCTGTTGCTCACTTCCTTTTTCTGCCTGGGAGGCAGTCATGATTCAGGCATCAGAACATGGCAGGGACCTTTATTTGATTCTGGCTACTAGTGGCTTAGACGACAAAAGCGTCGACTAATGCCAAAACGCTAACATGATTAATGTGACCTTATACTAACGGCCACTAAATCTTCCCTAGTAACCACAACGCCCTCCGTGGTGAGAGGCATATTGCTTACGGGTCCTGGTTTCTGCATTTTAGAAAACTTGTGAAATGGACACATATTTCTACATTCAGGGGGAAGAAAAGGAAAATTAAAATTGAACCAGAGATTCTGCAAGTGTTTTTTAAATGACTTTTGTCCCTCGCCCCCAACAATAAAACAGCTGTATTGATTTCTCCTCTAACGTCATTCCTCTGGAAGAGAGTAACTGGTTAAAAAGAAAATTTAGGGGAAAAAAAATCAAAGGAAATAACTGCTCTAGGCAGCTTGCGGTTAGCTGGAGGAATTCGCTGTCACAGAAGGTCAAATAGAGACACGCCTTCCCTGGATGGCTGCAAGGCCACTGAGCTGAAGGTGGCAACAGCTGGGGGAAGGGAGCTGGTGGCACTGGTGGCCCACGCTGCTCCGATGACTGTCTCGGGAAGGAAGATGTCCAGGTGGAAGATGAAGCCACATTTCAGTTTCAACTAGCAACAGGAAAGGGCCTCCATTTGCATACTCAGCATAAACTCTTACCGAGAAACTGCTCATTAAACGAAGAGGCTACTTTTGTTTTTAATCTGTACTGGCCTTCGGTCTGCCCCCGTGGGCTCACACCCACTGGCCATACGGTGGTCGTTGTCTCCCAGGGGTGTGCTTGGACTGAAGGCACTGTGAGATCCTGGCACCTCATGCAAATCAGAAGGGAAGAGCTCACAGGCTTCTAAAGAAAGCCAATGTGTGAAGACATAAATTTACAGCTTGCTAGGGTGGTACACACCTCTAGTTCCAGCAGGAGAGAAGCAGAGACAGGAGGATCATGAATTTGTAAAAACACGCCTCCAAAACCAATAATAATCTGGTTTGACACAATGGCTCAGTAGGTCAAAGGAAGTGCTGTGTGCGTTGGTTAGTTTGTGTCGACTCGACGCACCTGGGAAGAGGGGACCTGGGAAGAGGGGACCTCAGCTGAGCAATTGCCTCCATGGGACTGTTGGCAAGCCCGTGAGAAGGCCCAGTCCACTGTGGATGGTGCCATCCCGGGGCAGGTGGTCCTGGGTGTACTGAGAAAGCAAACTGAGCAGACCATGAGGTGTATTGAGAAAGCAGTGATCCTCTATGGTCTCTGCCTCAATTCCTGCCTCCAGGGTCCTGCCTGGAGATCTCGCCCTTGTTTTCCCCATGATGGACTGCAGTCTGAAAGGTAAAGACAAATGCTATTTTCCTAACGTTGCTTTTGATTATGGGTTTGATTTTTACCCCAGCCACAGAACCAAACTAATGCACTGTGCAAAAACCGACTACCTGAATTTCTATTCCTGGATCCCACGTGGAAGGAGAGAACTGACTGCCCAAAGCATGACCTCCACACACATGCTGTGGCACATGTCCCTCTCAGAACACACGCATACACGTAAATGATAAATTTAAAGAATAGTTTCAGAATACACACCAACACCACAATCCAAGGAGGATAAGGTGCTAGGGGAATAGAAAACTAATGATTGGTGTGTGTGTGTGTGTGTGTGTGTGTGTGTGTGCAAGTAGAGATCAGGAAATGTGTTTTCTAAACTATCTCTAAAGCCAATAATCCTTCAATACCTGCTGCAGCAGCAGATCCCTCAGCTGCATCCCAGATGGCCTGTATGAGATGTTTTGCCCAAGCAGGTGCAAGGGAATCCATACCTGCACACTTAAGCACCCGGGGGGAAATATTACCCTCGCGCCATTTTGGAAACCTGTGGACTTTGTCAGTAATGGACAGAATTGATGTTGGGTAGCACAACACTCTCCAGACCCTTTCTCTGTGTAATGCCGATTGTGACTTGGTAGGATCCAAGGAGTCCATTTCTGAACAGCTCACAGGTAGACGACACTAAGCGGCAGGCTTATCTTCATGCTTAAATTGGCGCCTACAGAAGGCGTAGAAACCTGGGAGCAGGGTCTGGCATTGCTCTCGGTGTTCTGACTGTTCCTTGAACTCTTCTTACCATACGGATTTGGGGACTGCGTGCACGTCCGACCTCCCTGCCTTCCCTGTCCCAGCTCCCACAGCCTGGCCACGGGGAAGGGCTGACACAGTTGTCCATGAGCCGAACTGGATTCGGCCGAAGGTTCACACCAGGCAGCTTGGAAGGAATTCTTAATGGCTCGGTGGCAAGAGAATTGTCCAAGGTGTTCTGGGGACAGAAAAAATAATGCAGTAAGCGGTGCATGAACTGAAGAGGAAAAACTGAAATGTAGCAAGATGGAGAGCTCTTCTGTGTGCCATGACCTGGATGCTGCAGGTCAAGCTGGTGGTGGAATGGGAGATCTCTGAGTTGTGAATGATTTTTGGAGCCTGAGAGCTATGTACCCCTTGACAAATGGCTGTAGTAACATAAAGATATAAAAAGAAAAAAGACTTTGGGCTAGGGGGATAGCTCAGTGGATAAAGCTTACTTGTGGAAAGTATGAGGACCAGAATTCAGATTCCCAGCACCCATGGGCATGGTGTCGTGCCTGTAATTCCGGCACTCAGGAAGGAGGGAGGTAGAATTAGGGGATCCCTGGGGCCAGTTGGTTAGCTAGATGGGACCAATTGGCAAGCTCAAGACCCAGTGAGAGACTGAACCTCGGTAAATAAAGTGGAGAGCAACCAAGGAGGACATCTAGGTCAGCCTCTGGCCCCATATGGGCACTTGTGCCCAAATATATTGACGTGAACACACACACACACACACACACACACACACACACACACACACACACACACACAGGAGTACATGTGCCCAAAGAAAATCTTGCAAATGACTTCAGAGGACAATGTAGAGACTCCAGATGCCTACAGACTGCAGGTTAGGAAGCTGGGTATTAAAGAGGACTTCAAAGGGTATTCACTATAAAGACATGGAGTCAAAGAGGGATTGAATGGAGCCCTGGGGCTGTTTTTAAAACCAGACTGTTGGGATCACAGCTAGGCCTGTTCATTTTCAAATTGTCTACCCTTGCTTTTGGGCTCCACACGTGTGCGGATAAATAAAAGTGGCAGAGACCTCAAGGCTGGAAGCCTGAAATGCTTGCTGCCCCGCAGGAGGCTTGATGACCCCTGGGCTAATGAGTCTGAGTGTGGCCAAAGGAGGCTTGGCGCATGTGCGGGTCTACAGGACTTTCTGCACCCGATTCTGCTGTTAGCCCCTTTAAAAAGAGAAAAAAGACACTGTGTACATCTTAAACAGCTTTTTCTTTTCCATGTTCAAAATAAATATATCAGGCATAAACTAACAAAACCCAGAAAAGCCTAATGGCTTGTGTTGTGGAATATTATTTCACCTAGGCAAAGATGTGTTACATTTCGTTTATGCTGTGGAATATTACTTTAATTATGTGAAAGTGTGTTACATTCATTTCTGCAGCCTTTGTTTAATGATGTAAAGATGTGTGGCCTTTGTTTCACCTTGCCTACCTAAGGCACTTGACTGGTCTAGCAGAAAGCTGAATAGCCAATAGCTGGGCAGGAAAGGGATAGGCAGGGCTGGTGGGCAGAGAGAGTGAGTAGGAGAGAAGAGGAGAGAAAGAGAGGGAGACTTCTGGGACCAGAAGCCAGGCAGCTGTCACCCAGCCAGACCTGGAGACGGCAGGAAAGTAAGATAGACAGACAGAAAGAAAAGTATAATGCCCATCTGAGGCAAAGCACAGATGAAGAGAAACAGGTTGAGTTATAGGAGCAAGCAAGAAACGAGCATGAAATCAGGTCGAGCATTCATAACTAATAATAAGTCATGGTTTGGGAGCTGGTTGGCAGGCCAAAAGAAAAGCCTGCTACAGTCCTGGTCATCTTAAAATATGAATACTGGAAAGTTATAATTAGCTGAGCATACCAAACGCTTGCTTCAAGTTGAACCGGAAGACTGCCTTCTAGGACACAGCTTCCCTCTAGTATTTCCAGCTAAGAGGGAGCTGTGAGCCGGAGAAAGGGCAGCTTGTGTCAGATAGATGTGGCATGTGTGGGCTGCTTCTTCAGGGTCTCAGTTTCCTCCTCTGTGGCCTAGAAAAGATGCTCATTTTCCTCAATGCTGTTGGGTGAAGGTGAATGGTGTCACGCAAGCCTGGCAGATGGTGCTTGTGAAATGCCAATTACTAATAACATTGGTATCTGAATAAAGAAGCAAGCGCTAGTGTCTAATTCAAAGTTTCCTTACTATCACCCAGCCTACATTCCCACAGAAAGGACTGATTTCCAGGGGATTTTTATTGTTGTTGTTGTTTTGTAACCCAGACTATCCTTAAAGTCATATCCCTCCTGCCTCTGATTCATGGGTGTTGGAATTACAGTTATTCAACACGGTGCCTGTCGAACTCTAGGGTGTCTAGTAAAGCGGGCCCTGTTGCACGCAGATACCGATGTATGGTTGATTCTGAAAGCCCAGTGATTGGATGATTGAGTGATGAGATGTGAAGATTTCTATTGAACTGTAGAAGCTGTAGGATTGGGAATGTGGCTTGGTGGTAGACCATTAGCCAAGCATGCTCATGGTCCTGGTTTATTCCTCAGCAGAGGAGAGAGGGAAGGAAGCGAGGGAGGGAGGGAGGAAGGGAGGGAGGAAGGAAGGGAGGAAGGAAGGAAGGAAGGAAGGAAGGAAGGAAGGAAGGAAGGAAGGAAGGAAGGAAGGAAGGAAGGAAATATGAAAATGTCTGCCAGCACAGCACCTGAAGATCTCACTTTCCTGCCTTTAGAGCAGTAAGGCATGAAATCCAAGTGCGATCAGAACAGGAACAATTCTGAAGTAGATTATGCTAAGGTGAGAAGTAAATGATAGGAAAGACAGTTTATTGCCAAGTCATAAATAAAAAGGGGAAAAAGGAGCCATTGAGGAGGTGAGGTGGGAACGGCCCAGAAGGAAATTCTCCATTTTCATTTACCTGACACTCTGCCCTCTGCATCCTCCTTCCCCCCCTGTGCTGGCCATAATTCATTTCATTCCCATCAGAAATATTTAAAGAACCCTTTGTAACAGCTCGGCGGTTGTAGCTCCGAACACAATATGTCCCTTAACTCCATCACAGGGCCCCTTTGTTTTCTGCCTGCTCATAATCTCTCCACATGGATGTTGAAACAGTTTATAGGATGTGCTTGTGTTTCCTCCCCCCACTCCCCCCCCCAACTTAGACCTTTCAGTCAAGTTCGCAAGTACTTAAGCATATTAACTCAACTTCGTTCTTAGATGACTAAATTATTGGAAGAATAGATGAGGTTATTTTCAGTCAGAGGAAGAGAGAGAATATGTAAGAAAGAGGAGAATCGGTCTACTTTCTACAAGATCCCCTCCCTGCCCCCTTTAGGTACATTGCCTAGTGAGCAGATGGGGAAAGGCTCACACTTTAAGTTACAAGGAAATACAGAAGAGCCAGAATCGTGATGGTAGGAAGGACCTTGAATTGGGAAAGCAGGTGTGAGATCAGACAATAAAGAAATTAGAGTCTGTGGGAGGCCAATGGGCTGAGTTTTGTAAGTCTAAAGTCTTTGGGACACACCGCCATCCTCAGTGGGTTTCTTAGCTGAACCTTCTGAGTCGTTCTTTTCCAGTGGGCCAGCCTGGCTTGTTTCCTAGTAAGAGAGTGGTCTCTTCCTCCACATTCCTCAGTTCTGGAAGAGTGGAAGAGAAAACTCAAATGTTGCCCCTTTGAAGCAAGTTTTATATTCTTTACCCCATCAAATTTTTTTTAAAAGGCTTAATGTAATCATCTCTATAAAGTCCTTTGATTTTTCTTTTTAAGAATAAGAAGTGATTTTGATCTTTTCCTGTAATTTGTTTAGTGTGTCTGTGCTTGCGAGCCAAGATCATGTGGAGGTCAGAGTTCTCTCCTCCCATCGTGTGAGTTCTAGGTATCAATCTCAAGTTACCAGGCTAGGGGGCAAAGTGTCTTTAGCTGCTGAGCCATCTCATGGACCTCAGGTTTACATGTTGAAAAGGAAAATGGCCCTGCACTAGCTACGTCCATTGCAACATGGAGTTCCTTTAAAAAAAAGTGGTTTTGAAAGAACACTTTTTGGTTTTGGTTTGTTTTTTGATTTAAAAAAAAAAAAAAAGAGACACGGTTTTAAATTTTCTGTAAAAATTTGTGTGTGTGTGTGTGTGTGTGTGTGTGTGTGTGTGTGTGTGTGTGTTTGAACAAGAGTGCAGTACCCAAGGAGGCCAGAAGAGGTTATCAAAGCCTGGAAACTGGATTTACAGGAGGGACAGAACTTGGGTCCTCTAAAGAGCAGTACATGTTCTTAGTCAGCAAGTGATCTCTCCAGCTCTGGAGACATAGTTTTTAGAAAGTGTGAGGTACAGGTGACACTGGAAAAGAGACATGGAGCCCAGACAGCAGAGGACAGGAAGACTCACCTTATCAGGACTGCTTAGTTCTGAATGTCTCATGCTTCCTATTTACACCCTACCCTCATGCCAAGGCCCAGAAGTCAGACAGGGTGCGTATTGAGGGGAATGGTGTCACACTGAACCTCTTCCCAATGTGGCCACATTGAGTAACTCTTCTCTTTCTGCTTCTCACTATTAAAAAGAAAAGTATGAGTTACACGTCAGTTGCAGAGTGTTTTCCCCTAGAGAGTGTCCAGCTTTTTCCCGTGAGTTGCCAATAAGAAAAGGCTTTAGGAAACATGAGCAGTAGAAACCAGCCTAGGGTATGACAGGATAAATGAGAGTATATCTTTCCTTGGAAGCTTTGTATGAAAGCCTATGAAACTGGCATCATTTATTTCAGAAACTTGAAAAAGTGACACTTCAACCTTCTACCTAGAAGAAAAGCATTGAGAAGTATGAGCCTATCACCTAAGTGAGTTGGGTAAATACATACTTAGAGCAAAGAAGCAAAATGATTAGAAAATGTGGCATATTTTGTCTTTATTTTTATTTTGCCAAGAAAAGTCATTTTATACTACTACTTCAGAAAAGTACCTTCTATTATTTATTTACTTATCTCACTTTCTTCATTAAAGAAGGAGAAAAAGACGTGGAGACGTGTCATCTCTCCAGTCAGCCCTGTTTCCTGTCTCCTCAGTCTCCAACTTCACTGAGCCCTACAGGGCCTAATGTAGAAGTAACTGTCTTATTAAACAAGAAACACAGAGCCAATGCAAAGATGAAATCCCAAGAGGTCAGAGCAATAGCTAAGAGCTAAAAACCTTACCCTTCACTGCCGCTTCTATCTTCCAGCTCAGTCAGTAAAGCATGAGACTCTTAATCTCAGGGTAGTGGGTTCAAGCCCCACATTGGGCGCCAGCCTTACTTCAAAGGCAGATGAAGGGAGGGGTCTCAGCATCCAACGTGACCACAGCGACTCCAGCAGTTGGAGAAAGGGAACGTGAAGCCTCCTGAAATGGATTTTCCTGACAACTTCTGTACAGACGGGGGTGGGAGGGTGGGGATGGGGTGGGGTTGGGGGTGAGGGTGGGGGATGGGGGGATGGAGGTGGGGTTGGGGGGTGTGGTCTTGCGTTAAGCTCTGTGACTGCATCAATGTGTGGTGGAGAGGTGCCGGGAGGATGGATGTTGGTGACATCACACTGCTGTCTATTCATGGGACGTCTCTGGGGTGGGAAGACACAAGGAGAGAATGGGTTTTGTTACAAGCCAAAGAAAAGAGGAATAGATTTGCCTCCTTGGACAGCACATCATACCACTGCTTGACATAAATATGATGTTTCTCATTATACGATGTTTCTCATTATACGATCTCTTCTGACAGTTGGAAATCTCTCTACATATGAGGCACCTGTGGATTGCTGGCCTCTTGGCTGTTCCTGATTTTCCTTCTCAGTTGCATCATTTCTTAGACGTCCCTTTGCTTGCCTTTCTTGTGTCCAGCAGCACTGGTTACGCATGGAAAGCTCTGTCGATGAACATAAATTGCTTCTGATTTATGAATGAACCCTTCCTGGAGAGCTGGTAGCTCCTGTTTAGCATATAGCTGTTCCATCTGTCATTTTTATTTTAGGGACTTTTCCTCATGTGCTTGCTCATTTCCTGCAGCTGGGTATGACCTGTCACTTATTTCAATAAGCTGGTCCCCTCTCCCTCCCCTCAGTGAGGGAGAACAGGATGGAGGGAAGTGAGTCCTCTGTCCCAGTTGAATCCCGGGGCTCTTGTAACAGAATTATATTTCTTTTCCAAGACAATTCTATTTCTCTGTCTCATTCCCTCCTTTTCACTCTTTTGTTTTGAGTCACAGAAACAGCCCTGGACCTGTTGGATGGAAATTCCCTCCCCCCTCAAATCCCCTAGAAAACACTGCCTCCTCCTCCTCCTTCTAGTCAGCCCTACTCTGAAAGCCTTGCTGAATCCTCAAAGGCAGATACTTTGGGAAACAGAAATTAAAAGGAAACAGGGAGAAGAAGTTGATAAAAACAGAGGGACATGAAGGGTGACAGAAAAAATAGAGGCAAGAACTAGGAACTCAGAGGAAAAGGGAAATGAAGAAGGTGGGAAAGAAAAGCAAAAACTTGAAATTGATTTACATCCTAGTGCTCAAGGACAGCCAGGGCTAATAGCGAGACTCTGTCTTAAAATAAACGCATATTGAAAAATGGAACAAGAGGAAGATTGATTCAGAGCACCCTATGTCCAGGTGTTTTTCCAGTGTCCTGGGGGCCATATAGATTAATCAGTTTGATTCCCTGTTCCCGGAGACGTTAGAATTAAAAAGGAAAATCAGACGAGTAGATGGAAGTAGCCAGCTACACCTGTAACTGCCCTGTTCCGTGCGACGCTCAGCTGTTCAGAGTCGCCAACACAAGCACTTCAAATAAGCAGAACCCTGACAAACGCCCTTACAACTCCGGCTTTGCTCCCTTTACAAATCCCTTTCAGCCCACAGCTCCGGCCGGGGGCTCTCCGGAGATCCCAAGGACATGTCCAGGGTCCGGGAGACAATTACAGGTCCCTTTCCTTCTTACAAGGAAGCCAAGTCTGAACTGCCAGATAGCGGGGAGGGAGAACACAGAGATATCCTCCTCCCCTCCCGAGCTGTTCAAGTCCTGTTCTCCAATAAAGAACTGTAACCGTTGGTTTCTCTGCGGTGAATGGGGCAGTCATTACATCCTGCTGAGCAAGACACCAAACGGGCAGAGTTCCTTTTCCAGTGACCTTTCCCCTCCTCTTAATGGGCAGTTGTCCCTGAACCACAAGGCCTTGTTGTTGGCGCAGGTCACCACGCACAGCCTGCAGCCACACACACAGTCGTTTGAGCAGGAAAGCGAGAGGACACCGCTCCATAAAAGGCCTCTCAGTGTGCCTTGTGTGGCAGACAAACGGCGCACGGGTCCTTGAAGTACCGAAAAGAGCCGGAGAAAGGAAGTTTGCCCGTGGAGAGCTTGTGGTATTTTTGGCCGCGGGTTTTTCTCACTACCTGTACTGCGTGTTTGTGTCTCTGACGGTGTTGACTGGGGCTTGGAAAAGAATAGCTGCTAAATTGGGATCTGATGGACTTTGCAGCTGGGGCGAGAACTAGATCTCACAGAGGAATGACATTGAGGATTCAAGACGTTGTGTTCTCTTTGTGGTTACATTTTTGATGTTAGGATAAGGAAAGGGAAAAAACAGTTCCCCGAGAGTGAGGTGGCCTAGCTGTGTCCACTCTGAGGGTGGACAATGTTTGAATTGGGCTTCCCAGCCATTGGTATAGATGAAGGGCTCTAAATTGTGACTATCTGCCTCCGTCAGTTCCTTTTAGAATCCTAAGTTGGTGGTGACTGTCCCCCCTCAGATTCAGCAAGTGTTTGGTGGGTCCACTGCACACATTTGCTATTAACCTGTTGGTTTAATTGGTTTTCAAAATCAGTAGCTTTTTGGATTGTCACCAGCAAAGGGTCTGTAGACACCACAAAACTCTCTTCCCTGCCCTCAAGGGTTAGTCACAGCAAATTGTGATCCCTTTGCCCTTGTTAAGAGCCTTGGGCCATGCGTTGTAACATAGTTTCACCCTGGAAGCAAATGATGAATGTTTTACCCAGGAGGATGCATGTAGCCTTCTGAATGGGAGATGTCAGGGCTAAATCCTACTCTTCAGAAAGTAATTAAGTGTAGACTAATAAGCAGAGATGGTTCCTGTAAGGGCTCATTGCTAATTAGCATACCAGGAGTATTCTTGGGATATAATTTTCCCTTTTAAAGAAGGACATGGAGACATTAAATGCCTAGTGTCCAGCCTCTGACTTCTGTCAAGCCCAAATTTCTTTTTTCCTCATGTTCAGCATTTATTTCAAGAGAGCAGGACCATCGAACCCGGTGGCACACCATTAACCCCAGCTCTCAGAGGGCAGAGGCAGCCAGATCTCTGTGAGTTTAAGGCCAGTCAGGTCTACATACTGATACCCTATCTTTAAAAAAATAAATAAAATAGAGCAATACCCATAAAACAGCAGGGCATACGTGGGTGTGTTTTGAGGCCTCTTCCCACATACACCACACATTACATCTACATTGTATTGAATGAAGTGCACTGTTTAGTAAAATGGGAAGGTTGTTTTCATGTGTGCTTTCTGTCACCCCAGTGAGATCTCGAGACGAGAAGCGGTTTTCTAAAGCCAGAGACAAATGATGATAAATGCTGCTTTATTCCAAGAGGCATTTGAAAACTTCTTCATTCCTTCCATGGCACCAGACTTTTGTCTGTGACAAACGCCTGAGAAAACCCATTTAGAAGAGGAGAATTTTATGTTTGCATGTGGTTTCAGTCCATGGTCACTGCCTCTGGTGTTCATGGACTTCGGTGAGAGCTGGGACGGGGGAGGGGAAGGGAGAGAAAGACAGAGATGTGCACTGTAGACAGGTATGTCCTTTTAAGGCATCACCCAAGTGACCTAGTTCCTCCACTAGGCCTCATTCTAATTTCCACCTAGTCGAAGTAACCCCACCAACGTCATGAAATGATGAACTACCAAGAGATTAATCCATTCATTGAGAATCAGTTCTCAATGATTCTATCCATCAGCTATTTTCCAAACCCTCAATTAATTTTTCTTTTTTAAAACAAAGTCTCATTGCATTGCCTTGGTTGGCCTGGAAATCAATATTGTAGGCCAGGCTGGCCTCGAACTCACAGAGAATTGCCTACCTCTGCCTCCCCAAAGATGGGATTAAAGGCATGCACTACCATATCTGGCTTAACTTATCTTTTGAGCAGACAGTTCATTTCCCAACTCTAGCACTTGGTAAGCTTGGGTGAAAAATTAAGTTTTATTATAGCTGAGAGGTTTGGAATGGAAGAAAATCTTACTACCCCAGCTCTGTTCCCCCGATTTAAATGAGAAGAAGGAACAACTTTTCTTGTGAAATTTGGTGGCCAAAGTCTCAGTGTTAAACTGTTCTACCTCTTTCCCCGCCCACTGGGACTCGTAGGCTGCATCTGGGCATGCCACGAAGGCAGGGGCATGCCAGCTGTACTTCACATCCTGCCTACTTAGCCTTCAGAATGAGCAGGGTTCTGCCCTGCCCTTCCCCTCAGACACTGAGATGCTGCTTCCCTGGTTGCTCATTCTGACTTACTAAAGTTTTGCTTGTGGCTTTCTTCTGAGGGTCACCGTTTTGCCTGTTTTCCAGTATGCCTGTGCAGAGGCATTGGCGTGGGGGGGGGGATGATGGTGTGAGGGTGGCAAGGAGTGCTCTAACAAAATACTTCATGTCTTCTCTCATATGTAGAATGTAAGTTCAATATACGAAATCTAGTCATACACATGGATGTGCCTGGGAAGCAGAAGGGGGACTCTTGGTGGGGAGATGGACAATGGAAGGAAAGAAGACGGGTAGAGGAGGAGAATATGAGCAAGGTAAAAAGATAGACATGTAGGGAGATGTAATGACAGTCATTATTTTGTACACTGTATACTTTGTTTTAAACAGTAGAAATGAGCATCATGTATAAGTGAGTATACATAAGCTTTTTTATGTGGAATCCATTGACTACCTTAAACTTAGAAAGTGCTTAATTAGCCATGGATGACAGTGTCCAAGAAGAGACACGGCACTGAAATATGTACAATTAAACACAAAACAATATATTTATTAAGAACCACAAAATCTCACCTAAGGACGTGTCATAGGCAAGTGGATAAATAGGAATCATTGAGAGCAAGGAACATTTACAAAGTTATTAATCAGAAGTTGAAAATGAAAGTTTTTAGTTATAAGACAGTAGACTTCCTTGTTTTAGCAATATGCAGCCCTAGGGTGCATATCATATTTATTAAAACTTAAAAATATCCAAATGACAGTTTCATGAGAAAGAAAATTGAAGATCATAGCTGGAGATTGAGTAGGTACAAAGGGGATTCCAGTTTAGGGAGTACAAGTTTCAGTTTGGAAGGATGAGCGTGTCCCGGGGGTGGGTGGTGTTGATGGCCTCAGAACAATTTGAATTCATTTAGCGTCACCCGACGTATACTCTCAAAATGACTAAAACAGTGCATTTACAGATGTGTACTGTACTGCCGTAAAAACACCCTCAAAAGGACGACTCAGAAAATGAGTCATGCTTGAATCAGCTGTACGAGGCTTGTAGTTACCGCAACCAGAAAGGCTGCTGTTTGAACTTCACCAGAACATATAGGCAATAATCTTTTGGAAATAACTGTTGGGACACAGTTCTACGGAAAGCAATGAGGGGCCTTTTAGCAGCTTGGCATCTGTAGAGGACTCAACTAGAAGTAGAACACATGTGCAGAACATGATAGAAGGCCTTTATTTGAAGTGTGGTTGAAGGCCACTGAGTCATTGGATATTTGAAGTATTTGTGGCTTGAGTAATGGGCTCGCCAACAATCCTGGAACCAGACAGACTCCTTTTGCCTTGGAAGAAAAAAGCAGAAAGGACAGATCAACTGACGTCTATGCCATTCTGTGTTGCGTATCGTGTTCAGCAATTGCTTTGACCAACTTCAGATTCCTCAAGCGAGGAAGGAATGCTGTGTTTCCTTAACCTTAGCTGACTGTGATAGTCCAAACAAGAAGGAGTTCCCATCTGGGTCACAAGGCAGGACAGAGGGAGCTAAATTGGGAATCTGGTTTTGTTCCCAGTCTGTGATGGATGTCTCATGGATGGGGTCAATGCCACATCTGATCTCATCCTGAGAAGGCATTCTTTAGCCATCCAGGCAAAACATATAGATTCAAGAGTGAAGCAAGTTGATTGATTCTACTAAGCATCTAGAGGTCACTTTAAATAACTCTGATGGGTTATTATTTATCTTCTCAAGGTGGCATTTTTTTCTGCATGTTTTCTGGCTGGGATGCTATTTAAAACAAATGAAGGGCTTATAACAGTGCCTGGTGGGCAGGAAGCAAGCTACAAAGCTAGCAATCTCTAATTACTAATTGTTGTCTCCTTTCAAGCAGATGTGCCCAAACAGTGAGTGTAAAAGCTGCTATGGTGGCTAGGTTGCTCATGAATCAATAACCATTTCTCATTTGCAACAGTGAGCTTAAAATTCATGGCTGCTGTAAACATGCCTAACAGGAAACACCGCTTGGGTTACAGTCTACTTATTTATTGATTCACCAAGCATCAGGCTTTGGAGATATGAAGGTATCATGCGCAGGCGTGATCCTTGATCCTATGGGGCTCAGCCCTGTGGTAGAAACACTTGAGGAGATTATCATGCAACATGAAGATGCAAGGTTGAAGACAGGTGTAAGGCATGACCGTGGTGTGATAGAGGGGAACCTCAGTTTAAAGGATGAACAAAGGAAGGGAGGAAAAGTCAACACTCCTGGAAAAAAATAATCCTAGAAAACACCAGGTGTGTTATTTAAAATAAAAATTAGATGTAGTCCAGATGGTAGAGTGCTCGCTTGGTACATACAGAGCTCTGGTGTTGATCCCAGGCACCACATAAAGGGAGAATGATGGCACATGTCTATAATCCCAGCACTTGGGAGATGGAAGAGCATCCTTGGCTACACAGCAAATTGGAAGCTAGCCTGAATTACATGAGACTTTGTCTTCAAGAATTAAAAATACAAGTAAACAAAATATATCTGTGTATGGAACTGTGTCACAGAAAGATGAAGATTCCTCTTAATGTGATCAAAATACAACTATTAAAACCCAAAGCAAACACCAGAGCTTGTTTAATAGTTATCAAATATGGACTCCGTTTTCAGTGGGCTCATGTGGGGCCTGTGTGGGTTGCTTGGTTTGTTTGAAGCTGGATGAATATAACATCATGCCAGATGATGGATTTATGTGACTCTTTAGTGGTCCTTAATCTTTGAAGATTTCCTCTTCGTCTTAAAAAGAAAAAAATCCTTGTATTTTATTTGCTGGGGTAACGTGGCTGCTTTCCTCATAGAGATTTTTATAGATGGCTTGGTTGGTTTTGTC